TCGTCCTGCTCCGTTCTTGTATCAGATCCGATCGAAGTTCTCCAACCCCTTCTTCCCAATCCCAATCCGTCTTCCGCCTCTTATCCTCCTCTATCAACATTAAAATTTCTCAATATTGTAAATTAGCCCCCATTTTTCTAATATGTTTGCTAATTAATCCTTTCCTTATAATTAGACTCTAAAATCAAACCAAAACACAAATTAATCTAAAATAATAATAATAACCAAGATAATGCAATTTAATATAAAAACAAAGTCAATAAGTCTAACAAAATATAACAACACATGCACAAATAATAGACTTATCACTTTTTTACCATGAACCACAAAATAAACACAAGGTTAACATGGAATTGAAACATTTTGGGCTGCCACACTGTTTGGGCCATAACTTTGACTTTAGGTATCCGATTTCAGTAGTTTATCCCTTTCCGGAAAGATCTCGACGAGACGCATAGTGGCTTGATCCGTCAAAGACCCATCGGTATCCATCTTTGACCAAAAATCCTACTGTTTAGACCGTAAATTTTACAGTTTTGGCTTTTTTGAGTCTTTTTCCTACTTGTTTATAGTGTTTTTAACTATAAATGCCCTGCAGTTTTATGCAGACTTGGTATGGCTATTACTTCAATTTTTGGTTTCTGGTTTACAGCCAATCCCTGGTTTTTGATTTTCGATTTGCGATTGACCTGCATAGCTTTTAACCGCATTGAAAATGGTTAAGAATCTCTACCTTATTATTCTACATCAATAATATTAATAGTTCTAGCGTTTTCATCCCTCTCATTTTTAATTTGTTGATTTGTGTTTATATCATATGTCTTGATTCTATTTAGATACTTTAGTGAGTTTAGTCCTTTAATTTTAACTTATAACTTAAAATTTTAAAATTAAAAATTATAATTTCTAGTTTGTAAATATTCAATGTAAAAAAATTATTTTAATCCTTAATTTTTAGTTTTTATCTTTTAAATTTAGAATTCATTTTTAATATCATATATATTTGCGCGATCAAACAATAAAATTCAAATTGAGGTTTTTTTTTATTTCCAATTTCATTAACTCAATTTCGTATACTAAATGATGCCTAATTTTATTGTTTTTTATAATTAAGATATTTAAATTAAATGTCAATAAAATCAATACCGACAGATAAAACATTGTTGCTAAAACTATAAACAATACCGACAAATAAATATTTGTTGTTAGTACTATAAACAATACCGACAGATAAATTTTTTGTTTCTAATACTATAAACAATACTGACAGATAAAGTTTTGTCGTTAAAACTACAAGCAATACCGATAGATAAAAGTTTGTTGCTAAAACTATAACCAATAGCGACAGATATTACTCTTTCTGTGGGTCAAATAGTTTTTACCTTCAAATAATTTTATCTGTCAGTAATATTCTATTTTTAGCGACAAATAAGGTTTCTGTCACTAAGCATCTGTCGGTAATGCCCACTTTTTTTGTAGTGTGTATATATTTATTTTGGCCCATGTAAAAGAATTGTTTAAGTCATGGTTACAATTTTTTTAAAATAGTTCTTGGATGTAATTAGCATGTCTAATTAGTTGAGAGAGTACATTTACTTCATACTCAACATCTTGCTTTTGCATTTCAAATTACTTCCAAAACAATTCTCATGTCCTAATTTGTAAGGTTGGGCCCAAGTTAGACGGTTCGGGTTTTATACCATCCCGCGTTTTGTCCCGTTTTTTTTCAAACGGTTCGGGCCTTAAGCTTATCCCTCTTTGTCTCTTAATATTTGGGATCGGGATAATATGGAATAGGTTTGGGTTGTCTTACTTTGTCATTATCTGGAATTTGATCTAAAAATATAGACAACCTACTTTAATTTGACTTGCAAAGTAATTAAAAAATGATATACTCCCTCCGTCCCAATTTAGATTACAATTTTATTTTTTCTATCCTCTCGATAACTTTTGTTTATTTGCATGCTTTCATTGATTTTTTGATAAAATAAAATACTATTGTCATCTTTTGTTTTGTAGAACTTTTGACGTAGTTTTTAATATGTAATTTTTATTTTTCATTTATGTAACAATTTGTAAATAAAATTATTTAAAAAGTCGTGAGAATTTTCCTCGTAATTCCCAAAAAATTGTGTTATATCATTATGTAAATAAATAAATAGATATATACATATATACGGGATGGAATGAAAAATATTTGTGTCCCAGTCATGTCTCATTTATAATGCCACCCCCCAACAAAATCGAACATTATAGAGACGACTGAGATATTTCAGTTCGGGAAAATTGTTTCGGGATTCTTCCCATCCCTACTACTCCCTCCGTCCCTGAGTATTTGTCAACTTTTGACTTTTTCCGATCAAAATTGGTAAGCTTTGACCTCAAATTAAATAAAAACGATATTAAATATTGATACCAAAATAATATATTAGATTTATTGTATCAAATATTTTCAAAATATTACTTTATCTAATTGATATATAATATTTATTTTATTTGATTATAGGTCAAATTCTGAAAATAGTTGACCGAAAAAAGTTAAAATTAGACAAATACTCAGAGACGGATGTAATAATTTTTATCCTTATATATGTTACCCCCTCTATCCCATTTTAAATTGTCTGCTTTCCTTTTTTCTCCGTCCCAAAGTAAGTTATCTGTTTCTTGTTATCGTAAACTTTTAAGAGTAAATTAAAATACCTAAACTATCCCTAAAATAAGTCACTCTTCTCCACCTCATCTTCTCATTTATCATCACCCCTCATTTATCAACTCTATTTTTTCCCTTCCTTAAATATGCCCCAAAGTTAAAATGGACGATTTAAAATGGGACGGAGGGGGTGCATCTCTAATTCTCAAACTCTTGGGAATATTATGACTCTTTTTCCATATGTATTTAGTCATCTATTATTAAATATTACGCTTCTTTCAAAAAAACTACGCATCTGATCCTTTTTAATGAGTACATTTCCACAAATAGATGTTTTTTGATCTCCTGTCATGTGAGTGTTAATTTGAAGGCAAAAAGTGTAAATTTATAATGATCATATATCTTTCTTATCATACACAATTGATCATAGTCTCAGATTTGGTCTTTCATTAGAATTCGAGTCTACGGCCATAGTCATTATTGTTGTATTTTTTGTCTAACCGACATTAAATTACGCACTGGACATATGATTTATGTCAAATTATACTTTTAGAGCTCAAATTTACAACAACGTGACAGAAGGTCAAAAAAGACTATTTGTGGAAAGGTATCCATGAAAGAACTATGGGAGTAATATTTGATATAGAGAACCAACCATGTTAAAAAGGAATAATTATGAAATTTACTATTTTACCAAATAAGTAGCACAAATGATTTTTAAAAAATGATAGAACTTTACCATGTGAATTGTAAACATGCATTATAGTTTGAGATGGAGAGTGTAATAAAATTTTGAAATTGAGGAAGTAATTCCATGAACCAAACAATTTAGATTATAAGAGTTGTGTCTGAGGTAACTGGAAATGCAAGACTAGGATATTGATAATTATATAAATGTTTTATTTCAACAAATTAGAAGCTTTAATTACGTTTAAGGATTATTTTCAGAATAAAATATTTTGTAAGTATGACTTAAATAAGAAAATTTTTATAGGGACAAAAAACAAAAATCGTTTATACAAAGACGAATTATATATTTTACCCTTTTCTTTTTTAATCATTCCAAAGTAAACTTTATAGATTTTCATTTCATGAAAGAAATGAAACTTTTCATTTCTTTTTTAAATACCATTTCTTTTTTTCATAGAAGGAAAACAATGAATGATTAATACTCCCTGTCCCTCATAAGTCTTCCCATTACGCACGCGTTACGTGGCTTGATCGACTTTATTTTCAATTCAATTTATTCAATTGTAGGTATAGAATTTATATAGTAAAAGACTACATGAAAAGTTCAACAAATGGAAAAGACTAAAGTAGAAATAAAACATAGAAAATACACTAAAATATGAGTTTCAGGTTTTTATTTCCAAAATAGGAGTTAAAATGTATGTATAAAGTCAATCATACCAATATATAAAATATTATAATATCAAAGTGCAAACTCTAATTTTAAGGATAAAAAATAAAGTTTCTATTTAAGTAGTTTCTCTATATTTTACTCC